GGTGACCTTGTGTGTGCAGGGGGGTTGGACTAGATGATCTCTAGAGGTCCCTTCCAACCTTAACCATTCTGTGATTCTATGATTCTATGATGAACCTGGAAACAGAAAGGTCCAAACCAATATTAAGCCACAAGGTGATATCCATCAAAATAACCCCATTTGTTCCAACGCTGATGAGAAGAGGCTGGTGTCCTGTTCTAGTCCTGTGTTAAAAGTAGTTATGGAAGAAAATCCTAAACAGCAAAATAAAGTCTCAATTTATGTGTTATGGATTGTCTTGTTCTCTGCCTTTGTGTACCTCGTCAGTCTACACCCACCTCAGTACCTGTCCAGAAATATTTTCTCTTAGAAATTGAAAGATTTCCATCCAAGGTGTCCTGAATTTTAATTCACGAGACATAGGACAGATCAAAGCTCCAGAGAACACCTCTGCTTTGGATCTCACCAAGCGTCTGGAACGAAACCCTTTCTTTTTCTTCAAACAGATCCAAAACCACAGTGAGCTGGGCAAAAGGAAGGAATCTCTGGCAGGAGAACTACCCAGCAAAGTTTGTCAAAATTATTTTGATGACAGGTGTTAGAAAGGTCTCATGATGGCTGGGACATAAAAGCCTTCTGGGTCAGCAGATTGTGAGAAACTGCTAGGGGAACAGGTTGTCCATAATGTAGAATGTATTTTAGAATTTTATGTTTAAGAAATGACATACAGGAAGGTGGAGTTTCATAGTTCACACAACAGAAAATACTATTTTCTGAGAGCAACCTTGCTGAGGAGGATACCTCCTGCAGAAGGCAGTCCTGCTGAGACTGTCCTCGAGATCTGCAAGCATAGAAGGGAGCTTGAGCTGTCACCTTCGGCAGTGAAATGACTCCATCCACTCTGATACTTCAGTCATCTTCCTCATGAAATGAGAGGGCTGTATCTACACAGACTAGGAAGGGTTGGTCTATACAGATAAAATAGACCTGGGCTTTCCATTCCCAAGATTGGTTTTATCAGGCACGGTGTTGAGGGGCTTATGGTTGGACTAGATCTTGAAGGTCTTTTCCAACCATAACGATTCCATGATTCTAAGACTGACACTGGCTGGGTGCTGGGTTCTAGCAAGTGTTAGAGGTCACTTTGCATGGGAACACTGCCTGGACTAATGTACTAGTCTCCTAGTCATTAGCAACCACTTCACGAGCATTGAAGGGTGTTGCTTGTGACACTAGGCCTAATCATAACCAACCAGGCTTTCCAAGCACTATTTTTGCTTGCCTTGAATGGGAAAACACATGATCCGGGCAAAGGTAAATCCCAGACAGGAAATGCTCTTTTAAAGAGCCAGTGTCATCTGATACCATTTTTGAACTTGTATCATATATACAAAACTGGCAGGAGACCAACAGCAACCTTTCTGGGAGGTGAAGCATCGAGCCAAGCAACTGGCCACACAGCTGAGTCGCACCTGGAACCTACCCATCTTCATGAGCATGACACTGAACCTCAGCTCTGGCTTGCAGGTATTTATCTAGGGTTTGTGTTCTCAAGGCAGCAGTCTATAGGATGGAAGTTTACCAACCTAAAATAGCAGAAAATTTCAGAAAAAAAAAAAAGTCATAAAAAACATGTGCTGCAGCTCTGGTTGTGCTAGTATCATTTTAGGACATTTATGCTTCCACTGTTACTGTCTAAAAATCTTCTGCCATGGCAGATGCCAACACTATCTCCTCCTCCAGCAAGGGCAGAGGAAACGTGATGGAGGTCTGGAAGGGGGGCAATTTCACACAACCTGAAAAAGCAACAGAACGAAGGCAAGGAAAGAACAGCAATGAGCATCCACCGAGCACATAAATCCAATGAGGGGAGTTTTTCCAAGTATATACACAACATTAAATGCCAGAAGAGTCATAAAACACTAAAGAATGCCCATGACCTTCAGCTTGGTGTTTTCCTCATCCATGCTAGTCATGGTCAGAGGGTCTCGTATCAGGAGGAGAACATGGAGCCTGTAGAATCCCGCTGCTCCCGAAGCAGCTCCGTCAAACCCGGGCAGGAGAAGTTCCTCTGCCCACGGGCCCAGCCGCGGTCCTGGCGTCGGTGCCCGCGCTCAGCCCCAGGAAGCGGCAGCAGCAGCAGCGGCAGCAGCAGCAACGCGGTGCCTGGGGCACCTGCCTGCCTGGCCTCCTTCACAGGGAAGGCTGCGGTGGGTAGAGACGTGGGAGAGATGATGAAATAAGATGGGTCGGGAAGTGGGGCAGAAGTCTGGGAGCTGCTGCAGGGAGAGTGGGGGGCAGGTGCAGGAAGGACACGCACCTCCACTGGGGGCTGCAGCAGGGAGAGCGGGAGACAGACGAGGAGGGTGGAGCAGAAGAGCAGCAAGGATGGGGACGGTAAGGAGTTCCCCAGCAGGGCCTTGCAGGCAGACGCCACCCATGCAGTTTTTCCCCAAAGGAAAGGCAAAAATAAATTGCACCACACAAGCAGATCCGCTCCCGCCTTGCAGAGCGCGGGCGAGGCGGTGCTCTCAGCACCCGCACGCCTGGAGGCTGCCTCACCGCAGCCTCGCCAGGGACATCCAGACCTTCCACCAGAAGCGCTGCCATCTTCCCCTCCTCAATCCCTGCCATCTCCTCCGCGATTCTGTTCCGCAAAACGCAAACAGAACCGGGTGGGATCAGGAGGATGTGAGCAGAAACCGCTGATGCCACAGGAGGGGATGGGGACATCTGCCACTTCAGTCACACGCAGCCCGGCAGTGGCTCCCTCTGCTTAAAGAAAACTCTGCAGCACACACCAGTACTTACCATTCCACGGAAAAGGGCACAGCTGAGGCTGGCAATTCATCACAGGTTTTGCATGATCTCTTCACTTGCTAAGGCTTTACATTTTGAACAAGTATATACAATTTAAAAGCTCCACCACATGCCAAGCAGTCACTAACCGCAGAATATTACTCCTGTTATTCCTCTCCTTCCTTACTAACAACAACCACCAAAAAGCGATTATTTTTCAAGCAGCAACTGTTTATTATTGGGAAAAACATTAGGACTTTATCTTTTTCTCTCTTACATATACTTGATTTGAATAAAAATAATTTATTTATTTTATATTACATGAAAATAACCGGAAACTTCTGGAAACAAGAACACTTAGACAAACCTGTTGTTTAGCTGCTGAGATGTAGCACTTGCATGTTTTAACTCAAAGAGAGAAACAATTGCAATTGTCATTCCAGTGAAGAAAATTAATCCATTTATAAAATATTTTGAAGTTTGAGAATGGTATATAGTCACATTAGAAAGTACTCATAGCATGTGAGTTACAGCATATTACCTAAAATATATACTTCTCAGACTTTACAAGGTCAAATATTTTAGACCACATTCCAGTGAAAAAACACTACAAACGTATTACAATCCTTTTAAGGTCCTTATGGAATTAACTTTTATTTCCTTTTGAGGAATTTAAATTTAATATCTCTAGCAACAAAAGATTGCATACAAACTAGCTTGGAGGAGCTTGTTTGCACTAACTTGGAGGACTGCTCTTTTAGCAAAGGATGAAGCACCTTTAGTAGCAACGATCAAGCATCGTCGGTACAGTAGCTGATGAAGAAGCAGATTTTGTGCACAGACTGGTACAATTTTTGTGACAGCTCTGTAAATCTGATAAAAATTACTGCATGTTCAGTAATAAGAAATTAAAGTAATAGGAATTAAAATATGCTTAAGGCTGGGGCAGGAATACGGTTATAAGACAAAGATTCCATTAAGTAATCCAATTCACATTATCTGATAAAAACTTCCAGCATAGAGACTGTTTTCTTCTTCTTCTTTTCCTTTTTAAAACACATGCACCGTACTCTAAGTTCCCTTCCCAGGCTTCCCATGGATCTGTTTAGCTGAATGTGGGTATAGTTCCTTTTCTTTACAAGGCGAGGGTAATGAACGTCATTCAGCATGACCTGGATGGACTTTATTTAAAAAAAAAACACACACGCCCCCCAAAAAAACAAATTAAAACTCCCAAAAGTAATTAGCACGTCAAGGTCTCGCTTTAGTGCACAAACTATTACCTGTAGACATCTGCAGCACAAAAATGAGATGGAATTTGCAAAGGTATTTATTTGCACTGAGGACCATCTTAAATGCAATGTAATTGTCACGGTCATGGCTGTTTGATAGCCAACGGAAAACCATCCTGCATCGAGGACAAGGGAAAACTCCATCACCACGAGTGCCAAAACTGTGTTCTTGTAACAGCTGAACCCCAGGGGTCAGTTCCCTTTTAAAGGCCACTGAAAACACTGGCTGGTATTGCAGTCTCACAAACAAGCCAAGCCCATCTAAAAAGACACTGTCGAGCCCTTTTAAAAATAAACATTTAATTTCAGTATATTTTGTTTTTTTTGTTTCGTTCCTGCCTTCTTTTATTTTTGTAACTGCCTGCTGTTTCCAGCGCCATCTCATTCCTTCCTCCGCCTCTTTCGCCATTTCCCACTTGGCAGATGCTCCCCACCCCACCCTGCTGCTCCTCAGGGCGCACGAGGCTCTGCCCTGGCCTTGCCGTGTTTCTTTGCCCGTATCCGTAAGGGCAGGGGATTTTCAGCCCTGGAATGTGCTTTAGGAACTAATTGCGTTTTCTTTTACCAAGGAATGCCTTCTTCCACACCGCAGCCGGCTGCAAATATTGTCATTTGAAAGAGAACAGGTATCAGCTGTACAGTTTAGGAAGATGAGGAGACATTCTCGCCGGACTGCAGTAGTTTTAAGATCAGGTAAAAATCTGGACCTAAACTATGCAATTATGTCTTCCTGTCTAAATTCAGAATTACTTTTAATTTGATGAAGAAATATTCTACTGGTATGAGATCAGAGGTTTTGAAATTATTATGCATATTTATGCCTTACGTATGCTTTACTTCTCTTCTCTACATACATTACTCATTGATTTAATTCACTCAGGAATCTACCATACTGTCAACCAACTACAGCAATCCAGAAACATTTCTTACGTATGGAAGGGGCTTAATCATTAAGCCTACACCTTCCTACAAAGCTTCAATGTTTTTGATTGGTAAAAAGCATTTCTCATTGAAATAATACTGAAGTGGAGCCCAAGACCTCCTCCATTTATAGGCCTGTTAAGTTAATTAACTTCTCGGGACAAAACGCTGATCACACTTAATGACAAGACACGCTATCATCTTCAAGACAGCTCCAGTGGCCGCTCTGGTGGGACGACAGTGTATCTGGGGTCCAGCTTGGGTATGAAACCCTGGAAGTTCTTAGAGGCTTCGGTACCAAAAACATCTAAAACTTTCCTATTCATGACAGCAAACCTGAAAACAAAACAGACAGGAGCAAGTGAACAAATTATGCATTTATTTGTACATAAATAGAACTCCTATTAGAAAGATTTTACCATACGAGAGACTACTCACATCTTCAAAACACAGGCTTCAGCTTGCACTGTTTACAGACTAAGGTTTTCATCTTGGGCAATAAAAATTAAAAACGTGTACTGGATTATCTGATTAATCCAGATAATCTGATTAATAGGGTAGATTTTTGTAGATATGTTTCACATAATAAAACCTATGGAAAATGGGAAAGGAGAAATTCTCATTCTACCTGTAACACCATCAAAAATCTCTAAACAAAATATATTTCACTTCTTTTTCATCCAAGCACAGAGGAAACTGCCCTTGCCTACTGATGCCTGTATGGACAATTTTATGCATAATAAAGCATATTTCTATTTCTTTATTTTTCCAAATTGCTGAGTGAAAAGCCCTATGAATAACCAAAGAAACTGATCTAAATCTTAAAAATACTACTACAGAAATTTGCTTCAAATAAAATAAGTGAGCAGCAAGTCATGGAATTTATTTCTCCCCTTCTCTTTCAACTAAAGCAATTTTAGGATTAGCACAAGCACAGGATTAGCAAAAGGCAGCCAAAATTGGACATCTGCACTGATGCCACCCCCCCGTGTCACGTCTGCACATTGCCTCCTGACATCCCAAGGAAAGATTCCCACCATGGCTAGTAATAAGTCATCCAATGTCCAGCTAAGAGAGCACCAGGCCAAGGGGTGTGTGGGTTCACTGTGCTCCAGGGACTGGCCTCTGAGCTCACTTCTATTTTTATAGGCTGGACAGAGGGAGACTGATCTTAAAACTGTCCTTCAAGCTACAGCGGGTCATATCGGAAGGACTGAAAGCTGCCTGGCTCCTGGAGCGGACTTTATTCCTAACCTGATCAAAGTCAAGATTTGGGTGTCTTCTTCTGCCTTATTGTCAGTATAATAATGTTGACTTACCAAAATAAATCAATTACGGTAAAGTCTAGTTTAAAATATAAACATTTTAGATCCGCACAGCAAATAAGAATAAAATTTATTCAATAACACAAGGCAGGATAAGTTAATGTTTATAGTAAGTGAAAAAAACAATCTCAATTTTTCCAAGAAAAAAAAATCTCTCCTGTCCCAATAAAAATAGATGTCATATAAAAAACTGCTGAATCTTCAAAATAGTTTTATTTTCATGGGATATACTCTGACATTTCTAATAATATTTTTAAACAGGCAGCATCACGTTGCAAACCCAGTACAGCACTGGTTTCTTCATCTTGTCTAATTGTTTACTTGCTGTTTTACCTGTCACTGAAATCTGAAAGCATTCTACCTGTCCAGGTGAACTGAAGGAAATGATTTAGGAAGCTGACCGTGAGCAATGGCATGTGGAGACAAGCCATAACATATCCTTGTTTACTGACCTGCCGTTCGTTAGGCGTAAAAGAAATTTCCAGTAGGAAGGTCGCAGGTTCTGAACTTCCATCACAGCCTGCAAAGAGAAAACTCTGTGAGCACCAGCTGTGGAGGGTCAGGCAAAAGGCACATCCTGCATATCAACTTGCCTCAAAAGTGGCCATTAAAGGATGGTTAGGTAAGATATATACATATATATTTAAAAGAAAAAAATTTCACGATTCATGGACTGAAAGCAACTGGCAACGTACAGCACTCTCAGCAATAAACCAGTCACAGCTGAACTCAGTGACAATATGACAACCAGCAGCGCAGGGTGGCATTTCCACCAGACCAGCACTCAAGAGTGGTGCTAACTAACTTAGATCTCACTGTTGTGCAGAGAAAACAAAAATAATCCTTGTTATTGCTATTATTGTGCAGTTGTGGGTGCCAATTTTTTCCTGCTATTTTATCTCCCACTCATTCTGTGCTGTGTAATCTATCACTCTGCATACTCATCTTTACATTTTACTACCCCAAATAACATTAGATAACCCAACCCTTCGTCTTCTCTCCAAGTTCCTTGTAAACACAATGAAGAGCAACCCCCTCAGCATAGATCTGTTTGACAATTGCCCCTTCTTTCCCCTCTGCTAAACCCAGGAATTTATTTCTAGTTTTGGATCCCTATGTTCCAACTCATTACCAAATAATGAACGAAACCCTTCCCACTCTTCTCATAATAACTTAATTTCCTCTTAAGCCTCATGTAATGGACCCTGCAAATAGTATTTTAGAGATTTCAGTACTGCAGTTCTTTGGATACACAAGCACATCTCATGTGCTAAAATATCAGTTCATTTTTGGTGTTAGAATAAGAGATATTCTGAAATATGTGGGAGAGATGAGGAGCTTTCCCTTAGGCATAAGACAGTAAAGATGTGTTCAGGTCTTTCTATATTCTCTTTATAGGGAGATAAAAAGATATTTCATTACGGACTAGAAAATATCCAAAAAACATTCAACGGGACATTTAGGCATTAGAAAGGGCGGAGTGTAGCAGAATAATGCAGAGCAATTTAGTTACTGCTGTAAAGGAACTTTTACAGCTGGTACGTCAGATGGGAATGAAACTGAGGATAAGGACATAGAAAAGACTTGGAAAGAGAAAAAAAAAAGAAAAAAAAAACAAGGAAAACTACAGCTTGTTTCAAATTTAAAGCTTTGAATCCTCCCCTCTCAAAATCTCCAGATTCTGTCAAAATACTCAATATTACTTAAAGTTACATGAGAGAGAAAATTTCCTTACTACAGTGTAACGTTAGCATCTTAAAACAGAACAAAACAAAACAAAACTTATGAAACTCCCTAGATTTCTATCCATATTTTGGGTCACTGAATTTGAGATCCTTTCCAAAGCAGTCTGCACTCAGTTGTGTATAAAAAATTTGAGACCTAGGAATGACCTTCCCCATACAGTAACCTTCAAAACCGGGATGTAGCAGTCCTCACTCACCTTGCTTTGCTCACTACATCATAACACCATTTCTACATCACTGTAGCCTTAACTTCCTCACTTTCAGCACCTGACTTACATCAAGAGAACTGTATCTGCTCTTAGAAGGCAACATACTTACTGCCTGAAAGCATATAGATGTGGAAATGGCATAGATGATGCTGTCTGCATGAGGAAAATAGGGAACTTTCCCTGCTTCAATGCCTTTGAAGTAGATAGTCTATCAAAGTAAAAAAAAAATACATATATACATACACATATACACTCAACAAACCACAGAAGCAAGTCATAAGTAACTTTTTACTTTTTATCACATTCCCATTTACAAAGTAACCCATACTCACATACGCTCACGTGGTTCTGTGTTACGTCCATATTTCAAATGTGATATTGACTGAACTAACTTAAATAACTTAGCCAAGATCTGGAATAAGTGCCCGTAAATGCACCGAAAAGCACTTGGCAAAAGCTTGAGTATTGAAAGGGTAATATGTATCTTAGAGATAAAAAGAGAAAGTGTGTTTTGTCAAATACTTCATTTAAAAAAAGCAAAAAAAGAGTGCAATAGCGAGTCCAATAGAGTGAATATTCACTGTTCTTAAACAGCTTGAAATCACATACTTTTCTTTCTGAGAAAACATGTACAGTTTATTTTCCTGAGCACAGCTTGACCTTCCAAAGCAGCACACGCCTCTTTGGTCAGTTACCCTTGGCTTGCGTAAGATGATAAAAGCAGTTAAAAAAAGAAAAAAAAAAAGAAAGAACACACTGCACTTTTCTTATTGCACTGCAGCCACAATGTCTCAAAGCACAGAGAAAACCATCTGCAATACAAGATAATACTTTGTTTTTAGCAATTTTTAGCAAATTTTAGCAATAGTTTTAAAATTCAATAGGGATAATCAGAGTTGCTTTTATGTAACCATTATGAAAACTACCTTCTGAACTTGAACTAGGACTACAAAGAACAAGAAAAAATAGTGTATTCTCCCTTTTTATGTCTATTTTTTCCTGCTTTCTTTTTATTTAACATTCCTTTTTAATTTTTTTTTAAAAAAGAAGTCATTGGTAGTTGTGAAAGTGGATAAAGGTCATGAAGGAATTCAGCAACGAGCATAGAAATAGAGCTGTGTCAATTTATTTCAGTGGTGGTGTTGTGGAAACGTGATTTCATGGAAAAATCAGAGTGAAACTACAATCTGGCCTGTGATATATATTCAACATATATCCAAAATCTACAATTTTTTTTTGTCTGGGCTCCTAATTTTAACCACTTTATAGAAATAAGGGAGAAAAGGTCTTTCAAAGGTCTTTCAAACCTGAAAGACCTGGTAGCTTGACTGAGCTTCCCTTCAAAGCTGGGCAGTCCATCAGCTGAAGCACGCTGACAAACAACTGCAGCTACAGACTAAAACCTAAGCTATTTTGAGTTATCTTAAGACTGATGAATGCCAAAATTAGGGAACAAAGGCAGGAAGTTAAGCTGTAGCTTTTGGCTATAAATCTGCAATTAAGGACAAGTTCTGATTTATGTTTCTGGCAGAATGGACAAAATCCACATTCTTGAAACTTTCACATTTAAAAAAAAATTGCAAAAGCTCCAAAGCAAAGACCTACCAAAAAAGGAAATGGAGAAAACTCAATGGAGTTTTCATGGATCCATGGAGCATGGATCAAAGGATAAGGGATTTTTGAAGAAAGTCACAGAAAGGAGGTGGACAAAGACATGAGACCACAAAGCAGCACATACCTACTCAAATGCACCTCTACTGCTCAATCTGCCCCTACCCAGGAATGTTCTGACAAAGCCTGTGAAGTTTGTTGTCTTTTTCTGTCTTGAGAAAACACCTGAAATACAAACTCTGTTGTCAGGGTATTATCTTACCTCTACTAATTTGGAAGCCAGGTACATAGAGATAGTAGTACTTTTGTAAAACATCATAGAAATTCCTGCGAGAGCCCCTGTAATGAGTAGAAAACAAAACTATCATTAAGCTCTGATTTAGTGTGGCTGTTGCACTATGTCAGCAAAGCAGAACTGCACAGGATCGTGGTTTCTGTTGCTACACCAGCATTCAGTGATGATCCTGGCCTGCCTATCAAAGTCTGGCTTATGTCATTCAGCAGAAAAACAGAGGTTCAAAGGTTCCAGTGTGACAGATGTGCAAGTAGCAGTGAAGGGAGCTGTGACCCTGCACAAGTTTTTTGGCAAAAGGATCCTTCTTTGAGTGGACAAATGCATTTTCTGTTACATGTGACTTGTTACATGTGGCTTGGAAACAAGGGGCACGTTAACATTTGTGCATACAGTAATTTATTATCCTTGAAGCTGAATATAAATGACAGACATATCGTCGAACTAATTTTTCCTTTACAATTTTAAATGTAACTCTTAATTTGAAACCACTTGAAACACTACTGTTACACTGAGGCAGCCTTACTATACACAGTCCTATTTTCAACAGAGAAGTCTGAAACAGGAATTGCAGGATAAACACCCAGTGTGCTGGGCAGAAACCCTTGCAGAGCCCAACGGGGTCAATATTCACGTTGTATGGACTCACCAGCTACAAGTGCATGGAGCTCATCATCCAGGTTTCGTACCCAGCGCAGAAAGCAGCTTGTGCCCTGCAGCGAAGGGGGAGAAGCGCAGGCCTCGTTACTATCATATACTATGATAATATCTATAATCCACAGTATGCAAAACATTTTGCAGTGTGTTAATTAACAGTTTATATTGTTTCAAAACAAGAGAACAGAGCACTAATTTGAATACATCAGCCAGACATCCCAGCTGAATTCAAATGTGGCCAGAAATGCTCATCTTGAC